CGTCCCGATCTAGTGATCCTCTTACTGTTTTTCTTCTTCTTATGATGTATGGCCCTCACATCAACCATCTGATCTGAATGCGTTTTTATAACTCCCATGTACTATTTTGAGAAAAAGTATGTTTTCTTTTAGTTAACCATTTAGAGTCAAGCGATCCGATTTTACTGGCTGCTCATACCCTAATTCGTTTGTTTGCATATCGCTCCTTAGTCTGCAAAAAATCCTAATGACCAATATTTTTTACAGTTAAACAAGCCATGTGACCCGCTACGTTCAAAAATGCCTCCAAAGGGCTTATAAATAGTGGGTACTCAATGGACTAGAATGGAAGTAATCAGCGCACTCGCCATGTTTATTTCGCAAATACACCTCAAATGATATCCTGTACAATCGAATGCGATCTCCACACAAAAATTAGTGATGGCATTGTCGACCTTGGGGGGAAGTGGAGTTGGGGGAGGTGCAAGCGGCCATAGCAACAAGGTCTAGGACCAGGTTCAGATCGAGTTACCAGTGAGAAGTAGTGTGTGCATGAATGATGCATTGCTCATTGTATAAATTACTGCCAAAAGCCGAGAAGTGACCTGCTTGTGCATTTCTTAGAAGGCAAGATGTCAGCGAAAGGCCGGTAAATGCATTGGCCAGAGTGCATTTTATTAATGCTGCATGGTAAATGACACTCAAAACCCTTAGTTTTGAAGAAAAGAACCACAAAGTATGGTCGTGTCTACAGCCAAAGGTTGCTTTAGCTGGCAAGTAGTGCTGAAAACTTATTTTACCTTCGAAGGGGCCCTTTTACCATGACTACAAAACTAATGTAAATTTCCGCCCCCCCTCTGATCCGTGAGGAGGAGAACAAGGGTGAACTATAATTTAACGTCTGTTGGCATTTTGTATGCCCGTATTAGACGATTCTATTTGATCTCCTCAAGAGTAAGTAGGTGTCAATAGATCATATTACTTTGCTGAATCCTCTGCAGCGAAAATTGCATACCCTCTTTGCATGATCTGTAAGCAGCTGCATTGCTTCTGTCAAAAAATTAGACTCGTGGTTTTTTGAGAATCATCTACATCTAGCAACCATACTGTCTTTTACTCACTTATCTAATACAAAGGGATTTGCGTAGATTAAGGTTTTATTTATTCAGGGGTTACGATTGCCAAAACCAAAAATTTGACCACTATTAACAATCATTTTATCGTGCCGATTGAATGTCTACCAATGGAATTGAGTAGGGTTTCAAATTGTGGGTTTACGGGAGCGTGCACACTACCTTGCAAGCGCGTGCCTTTCTAGGTGTGGTACTCAGAAGATCTCATGATGCCGCCTTGTTGTCCTAATAGAAGGCGTCTCCTACCACTTACACGCGCATACGCACACACAAGCTCTCACGACAGCAGACGAGTGAGTGATGACTGTGTGTAACTGCCCCCATATAAATTGACATTCCACGCACGGACGTCATGTTACCTCAACCCTGCAAGGCATGAGCGATCACAGTGTTAGACTAGAGGAGACGGAGAGCGAGAGCCCTGAAGAAAAGCCACAGCGCAATCGGTGCGTTCAATGCCTCATCAACAATAGATTCATGATAACTATCATTGCTGGTGTGCTAGTCGGTTTTGCAATCGGCTTTGGTCTCCGACAACTGCCCACCATCAGTGAAACCCTAAAGGTTTGGATTTGTAAGTCGCTATTATTGCAACTTCACCTTCAAGGTTAATTATGTTTATTTTGCAAACGTGTATTGATAACGGAAGTCTTAACCACTTTTTGCTGACCTGTGTAACATAGTTGTAAATGATTTAATTATTTATTTTTTCATTTACTTGTGGGACATTTTTGTAGTCTGATTTCAATACCGATGGCGTTAAACATACTTATTCACTTCCCGAACAACCGACTAATGTAAGTAGGAATTTGCTAATTAAGGACGGATCTTCCTTTTTTAGCTATGCCTGGCGACATATACATTCGGCTACTAAAACTAACTATTCTCCCACTTATTGCATCAAACGTCATCATCGGTAAGATTTTGCAATTTTTATAAGATTTCAATAAATGAGAAGAAGTTTATGACAGTTTGGCTTCAGTTGCTTTTGCCACGCTTCGGAGCTTAATTCCGCTGTTTTGATACTTAAATGCAACACGGTTAGGAAAAGAAAAATTAATGCT